GAGTTGCTTTGTGCTGCGCACCGTGTACCTGCAGAACAGCTCCCCTCTCCCAGGCGACTTCCAGTAGGGAAGAAAGAAGAAATAATGAATTAATACTGGTTGTGATTGTGAATTCTGTAGCCTCACTGGTAGGTGTAAGTATCAGCCCCCAAAAAAACATTTTAACTTCCTTGATGCTGCTTCGGAAAGCTTCAGTTGAAGAGTACTGGGGTTTCCTCCAGCTCTGGGGTGCTAGGGGCCGAGTGGGAGTTCAGATTTTACAGAAATAAGTTGCACTCGCTGCACTGGTATCAGAGGGACTTCCTCAGACCGAAAGTAGCTATGTCAGATGGCCATTTAGTTCAGCAGCCTTCGCTGGCTTCCCTTCCAAGGCCCGGATGGGGCAATAATGCAGAAATAATAAAAGCCTGGTACGAAGCTCAGTGCAAAGTCTCTAGTCCTTGGATTGGGCTGACGTACGTCACGCGGCTGTAGTAATGCCCTTTCCTGTATGAGCGGGTAGTGTTAGCAGTTAGGCTGTTGCAGGGACTCGGGACGTGGGCAGGGGGACGGGAAGGAGTTCGCTCTGCGCTGCTGCCGAGAAGAACGTGGTCTGAAATGGGGAAATGTGGGAGTAGCTAATCCTGACTGCTGACACCGGTCATTGGTCTTAATGGAGGCAGGATTTTAGCTCAGTGAAGTGTATCGCTGCTCTTAACCTGTTCTGTAAGCCTTTCTCATGTTATATGCTTATGGCAAGGTATTACCTGGGATGCCTTGTTACTTCCCTTTGACTTACTTTATATTCTGCGATGTGCTCCCATCTCTTTTGAGAACAAAATGCTGCGTGAATGCCTTACGGGCTCTTTCTCTTTCACTGACCTTTTTTTATGACTTTAAAGAAGTTTCCCTAGGCCCAAGTCTGCTTTCTGTCTTGAATATTGACCTTAGAGTTACACCATCTCGTTGTCACTGCACGCAGACTTCTCGGCTATCAAAGTTCACCCACAGGACTCAAAGTATTCCTAACTCAGAAACACCTTCCGTTTTATGTTCCCCTTCTCTTCTCCCTTCTTCCCCCACATCAGCATTTTAATTTCACAAGCAAACTCCCTTTCTTTGTGAATTTTGGTTTACCTGTTTCATGGTAAAAATTGTACTTCAAATTTAAATGTCTTTTTCACTGTGACTGTCATAATATTTTCCATTTGAGGCTGAGACTCCGCTGTGGGTTTTCTGTCCCACATTGTCATCTGTATGAATCTAAGCTGAAATGTGTGGAAATTCTGACATTTCAATAAGAAATATAAAGTGTTTTTTTACATTCTTCAAGTTAGCTGTTTCATAGGTATGGCCACTGGGTTTTGCCCAGTGCCCTGGTCTTTCCCGGTTCAACAACAGATTGAAGATTTCTCAAGATTTTGAGCTTGTTTGCATTCACTATATTGTGTCATTTCTATGAGAATGAGTGATGGTAATTTTTTATCTGATTGCTTACCCTGAAAAGGTGAAAAAGGAATAATTACGCAAAGCCAGGGCTTTCCAAACTGGCTTTGCTTGGGTGCCACTACCATTGGTAGTGATGGTTATGTACAGCGCTGAATGTGGTGTCCCTGTACCACGGTCCTCAGGGAGGAGCTCAGAGAAGGCAGCTTCAGACCAAGCAAACTGAGCCAAACTTTGAGTGGCTTCATCATGGAAATGGCTCCATGGTGGAAAGAGCTGCCTTTGATGTAGGCTTGCAGGGGGTTTTGGTAGGCTATTGCACTATTGCACTCTTTGTCTTCAAGTCAATGGCCTATAGACTAAGACGCCTTGTGCCCAGTAGCCCAAGTCATATGTTTTGGGGGCAAATTTTGACTATTAATGTTTACCTGCTGTACACTATTAGACAAAGGCTGGAATCTCTTTTGGCAGTCGAGTGGTTTCATACGGTTGGTTTGTTATCTGGAACAAAGTATACTGCTGAGGAGATCACCAGAATTGAATTCTCTAAAACACTTTCACATCTTTGTATTGGTTAATATGAAATATGGAAGAATGTACACCCACTGGCAACTTTCATGTCCGCAAATACATATTTTTTGTCATGAGTTACTTTGAGAATATGAGGAGAAATTTGCAGCTATTTCAATGACTTGACATGTGTCACAACAACAAGGTTTCTAAAATCCAGACCGTAATTGCTACCTTGGTTGGTTGCATCTTTTACCAAATGGGTCATGAGAATTGCTGGTGACATGAGCTGCTACTATCAGAACCGATTCCGTTCTGGTCTGACCTGATCAATTGTGCTGCGACCCAAGTCACAATCACTTTATGTAATTTTATAGTATAAATCAGATTTTACAGGTGTGGGTCTATGATGTGATTGCATCTGTAGAGCAAGTGGGACAGAATTTGGAAATGAACCCAACGGAGTTGTATTCGTTTCTATGCAACTGGAGCTCACAAACCTCGTTCTTCACAGATGTGTCTGAGCAGCTTCCAGTTGTGTATTAGGCAGCATGACTAACATTTGTCACATGTTGTTTATTCTCTTATCTTCTCCCAAGAGGAAGGAGTGTGTGTGCTGGAGAATTTCTTTCCTTGGGGAGTTACGTTCCTCAAATCCCATATTGTGTGTAGAAATCGTACCTTTATCATTAGATTTTATCATCTCTGTGAACCTTGAAATTTGATGGAATTTGGATAGCTGACCATCATTGGAAAAGCTCAGCCTTGTTGCGTGTGAATAGTTCGTGAAATTGTTGCAATGCAGGGAGCAACCATTTGAAGAGGTGTAATGACAACTTTTGTTTGTTTGTTTGTTGAATCAATTTTTTGTACTGCGAGCTTGTAAGGGAAAATGTTTCTCTGTGCTTAACAGTAATATATTTAATTAATTGTAGCTACCTCTGGAATATTTGCAAGCAATCATCCCTTTCCCTTCCATCTTACAGTTTATCTAAGTTGCTTGATAACCTGGTGTAGCCAAAGCAGGTGGGCTAATTCATCCCTGCTTCAGCTCGGTTAACTTAATCCCTTCAATTGCTTTAGATTTTTTTGATTAGACACCACGCTGGCTTCTAATAAAGGCGTCAGACTGACAGGCATTGATGCCATCTAAATGCATGGTGAAGCATTGTGATGGTGATGATAAAAGCCTTTCCATCCTAGGGAGCTGCCAGTATGTTTTCCTAAAGGTGCTTCCAGAGTGAGATGGCTGGTTTACATTTAAGAGCTGAGGCTTGATCCAGATCATTCACATCAAGGGCAATTAATCTGGGAATGGTAATGAGCCTCACACTCAGCCTCCACTGAGATTCCCAGTACCAGTGCCAGTTATACAGTTAACATGTAAGCTAGTGAGCAAAATAAGATAAAGACCACAACTGTTGGTTGAAGACAGAATACTTTCCTGAGGATAAGCCTTATCTGTAAATACAGAGAAATAAATCCACAGTTTGGATGCTTGCGCTTATTTTTGAAACACTTGGTTGTGTCACTGAACTGCACATGCAAACAAACTTTTTGAGAAAACAGAAACTTTCTGCAAGCATGTTCATTTCATCAAATCCCTTTTTTCTGAGACAAAAACATTTGAAACTTTTTCATCAGCTCTGATACCAGAGACTCAGGCTTTTTGAGCTTCCATCATATAGGGGATGTGGGGCACACACTGAGGTATCTGCTCGTCCTGCAGAGGCCCCAGAGAATTTCCCTCCCCCTGGGTCTTCGATGTTCGGGGCATCAGCCCCAGCACAAGTTGCTCTCTACCCAGCTTTTTGTTGGCTACCAGTGTCCTCCCTGCAGTGTCCCCTGCGTTTTCCCATCCCAGTGGTGACGGTGCATTTTGGCTCCAATTAGTACAGCTTGGATTTCATTAATTAAATGACTGCGAAAAGCTTTCAACGTTGGGACAAACCCAATAGAAACACGTATATTATCCAACAGAGGATGTTTTCAATTTCTTTGGCTGGAAACTAAAATTCTTACCTAAGATTTTCAAAACTTTGGAAGATGTTTGACCTTCCCCATTGCTCTGCCAGCTCTGAAAATTACAGCCAGTGGTGTTTTACTAGACTTGCAGTTCTGACTTAATAGCTCTTTAGTTATTAGAGAATAAATGTTCATGTTCTACAAGTTTAAATTATAATAAAAACCTTTATTAGCATGGCTTGGCGAAATACACTTCTGGCTAGCTTTCTGGCCTTGTGTTAGGCCATTCTTGTGGTTTCTTAATGACATGCTATGAAAGGGATATACTTAATGAGAATCTGGTGCCAGGTTTTGCATGTGTTATGAGGCATTTGCCATTTGTTCATAATGCTGCTGAGTGAAACAAAAAAAAAAAATTGGAGTTAGGTCTTGCGTTCATCTGGCTCGATTTTCATTGTACATGGCCTTTTATACTTTCATATATATAAATATATATATTTTAATAATTCTGGTCTCTACAAATTACTGGTGGCAGCTCAGTTCTGGCATGTAACGGTGCTGTTACAAAAGTTACTTTCTGTTGTCTTTTATTTTTCCAACCTTCCTTTAGTAACTTTGGCAAAGTTGTCTCAGTGAAAGAAGAACTTCTCTGGGCCACGTAATGGGTTTCCCCACAGTTGGGAGCAAAATTAGGCCAGTGGAGCAGCCCGTTTTTGTGAAGGCAACTGTTTGTACCACGGGCAAAATGTCTGAGAAGTTTCTTTCCCACGAGACTTGGTGACACACAGGCAGTGCTGCGGTGTGATTCAGCGCTTTGTTTTCTCCTCTTGTCGTCTGTTTATTTGCTTTGCGACCAACAAGTCCACCTCTTTTTCCTTCTGCTGATACTGCACATTAGTGTGAAAAACGGATGGGGCAGAGAACCCGGAGGGTGGGAGGAGGTGTGTGCGGTGGGAAAATGGGGCTGGGAAAAAGCTCTTGAGTAACCTTTCTTAGGTGTCTTTCCATCGCAAGGGTTGTCTGTTGCGAAGGTGTGATTTTTTTGATAACAAAAAGTGGGTTGCAGTGGATTTGACCCGATGCTCTCGTTCTTTCCGCAGTGGGGAAGCCTCACAAGTGCAACTACTGCGGCCGGAGCTACAAGCAGCGCAGTTCGCTGGAGGAGCACAAGGAACGCTGCCACAACTATCTGCAGAATGTCAGTATGGAGGCTGCCGGGCAGGTCATGAGTCACCACGGTGGGTGGAAACCGCCTTTTGAGGTCTCTTGGACATGGAGTGTCTCTTGCGGGTTTTTTTCCATCTGCTTTTCTTCCTTCCTTTCAGCTTTGCATCACTTCCGTCTTATAGCTTGCTTATACTCAGATAGGCAGGAGGAGAAAAGATGGGCTAAAATCCTCACTCTGTCCAGTTTAACAGCACTTTTTTTGCTGATTTTTTTTTTTAAGTCAGTATTTCACTTTTCAGTATACATAAATATGCAGACATGAAAATAAAGCGAAGTCACCTGTGCAAGGTTACCCTAAAAATGAAATAGGCCATGTGTAACATGTATGATTACCTTTCCCTTCCTTTCTGATAGTGACTGATAATTACAAGAGATAAGGATGGTAGAGGTAGTTGGAAGTCATTATTTCTAATCCTTGTAGTATTATATTATATCACAAAAAAAAGGGAGGGGTAGATGTAAAAATCTCCAGAGCAGAATGGAATTCAACAGTGTTGATGAAAGTAATTATAATAAAAAAATGTTTATATGCATTTATATGTGTTAGTATTAATATGTTAACTTAACACTGTATGTGTTAATATACATAAAGACTGAAGATTGCCAAAAAGAGTGTTGAAAGCAAGAAATTTCAAACTTCCTGAATGGGTTTTCAAAAAATTCTGTAGCTATTAGTATGGATAATGAGCATAATGTCTCAGACTGCAAGGTTGTAGGCTTATCTGTAGCACTAAATACTAAATGGTAGCTGGCAAAAATTGTCACAATTTCATTCAAAATTAGTATTTCGGAAACCCTTCTAGAACTGAACATCTTTTAATTTTTATAAGTTGTCTTTAGATGTTTGGTACTTGAAGTATTTGAAATTTCTTACTAATCAGAAAATATAAAAATTACATGTTTTTCATTTTGATTAAAAATTACCATATAACTAAAAATACCAAAAAGTTAGATTGTAGGTAAATGAAGAGGCGAAAGAACATTTCCTCTTTTTTTTTTTCCATTTTGCTTTTCATTGTTGAGTGAAGTCACTTGGCTTCATTTGGAAATTAATTATGTAAAAGTTTTGAAAGGTCATTTCTAAAAACCTAAAAATACAAGCTGAAATAAAATCTATTCAGCATTTCTAACATGCGATATTTTTTGGTGAAAAAAATCACCAAAAAATTTTAAAGAGTACTTTTCCATGAACAATTTAATCCTATCAAGGCATTCTAAATGTATTTAATATGTAGTGCTAAAATGTTCATACAGCTCTATTAAGTAATTATTATCTTGTAGACGCCCTGGAGATTAAAGCCAACATTTAAAAGTAATGGATGACTTTAAAGACATGGAAGTTAGTGATTATCTGCTTTAGGCGTGACTTTACACTTGTAAAAGTTAGTGGAGAGACGGATTTCAGGGCTTTGCTATTTGCAGGTACCTGTTGTGTGCTTGGTCTGTTAGACTGAGCGCTTAGTTGATAGTAGGAGTTTAACCACCAACTCCATTCCCAACAAAATACACATCCTTCACTCTACAAGGGTGTGCCTGTCTTATTAACCAGTGAGGTGATCATTTCAGTCTGACTTTCCTTAGGGGAGTAACAGTAGGCTGATACAATTATGACGGCCAGGATGTTTCAGACATCGCATTGTGGAGGATCTTACCAAATGCCACTCAACTTCCGGGTCTATTATTAAGTTACTTATTAAAATTGAGTTTACTCTTGTTGATAGTGTACTTCTGAGGAAATCGGAAGCTTTTTCTAAGCTACTTAATGCTATGACAAGAAGGGTAAGTCCTTAACCTTGTCTACCCAAAGAAGCTGGCATGGTCGACCTCGCATTGATTTTTCAACCAACCAAAGTTAAACCAGTGCAAACCCCATGTGGATAGTTCTTTTATTTACAGCCTGACTGACTTTGCTTGGACTTAAAATAGAAACATTCACACAACCACTTTACTTTTCTCAACAAGATTAGCTTAAAACAGCACTTTGAATTCAACTAGTGCCTTTTTCTCCTCTGGGCAAATACGCCTGAATGTCCCGTGGTGAACGTTTAAGGAATGTTTGATCCACAGTCTCTGTCTTGCTGTTTAGCGAGGGCAAAATGAGGACAGGCAGTGACAGGGAGCTCCAAATTCAGCTGGGACCAATAGTAAATCTCACCCTGCATCCCAGCATCACTCCCACCCGTGAAGCTTACCATGGGAGTGAGGGTCATGAGCACCAACCTGTAGAGGTCTACAGCAAAGTCCTTTCTCCTGGGACTATAAAGGCATCTAGGAAAAGTATGCAATTGGTTACTCAGCTTGAAGTTAGGTCTTAGTGTAACCCTGAAAAATGTACTAATTTCCTTCTGTCCCGTGTCACACATGGAAAGAATATTCCTGAGGATGAATGAGTGCATGCTTTGGAGATTTTGATCATTGGTTTATTTTGCATCACATCGGGGTTAAATTTTCTTGACTGTCTTTCCAAATACTTTTAAATATTTTGTTCTTGCTGACAGTTTTGAAGCCTCTGAATGAATTTTGGTGTGACTCCTGCTCACAACTTCATCGTTATGCACAGCATAGGTAGAGGTGGGGATTTTCTTATCCCTACCAGCATCCTGCTTGAAGGACGCAGGTGGCTGTGCTGGGTCTCAACCAATATGGCCAACGTTTAACAGTCGGTCTAAATTATTTCTGCAGAGATGAATTGTTCCAGAAAACTGGAGGCAGCCCCTAGAGAGTTTGGATTGTTTTCAAGCATTGTGCTGAAGTTGATCAGTTTATAGGCATGTTACAGACATCTACTTGGGTGCTTTTGCCTTGGCCTGATGAGGCCTTTAGTTTCAATTATCATTGTCTTGCAGATGGCTAGATCACCTGACAAAAGCCACAAGGGGAAGCGAGAGGAGGGGACGGAGGGCTACTTTCGATGTGTGGGTAGGAATGTACAAGTCTCCGGGTCTCCCTCCATCCTCTTGCAGGGTACTGGTTGCTTGCTGAGCTGCCCCTCCTTGTGGCTGTGTCCTGTCCCCTGCTCAGCAGGATGGCTGCTGCAAGAGGCCTCCCATGACTCTTGTTGGCAATTCTCAGCTAAGCAGTGCTGGCCCCAGAGGTAGAAATTAGTTTGCGGTCTCCCAGCTAGCGGCGTGTTGGGGGTGACAAAAGTGACAGTCTCTGAATGCCAAGAACATGACCTTTGCAGGAACAAACAGGGAGAATTGTTGAAGGCTAGCTATAGTTTCACCTCATTATATGGTCTTCTCCATCTCCACAAAGCAAAACGTCTAAGGAAATTCTTAGAGTGGAGAAGGGTACTCTTTTTAGGAGAAGGAGAAAGAAGCGTAGCCCTAGGCTGTGCAAGGCTCAAAGGCCAGCTCAACATAAAACACACAATGGCCTTGTGTCCTTCCCTCTTACATAGTTGCTTCAAACATGGTGAAAATGCTGGTCCCACAGGAGACTTCACACCGGGGTCCCTGGGAATATTTCCTGTCATTTCTCTGCACACACACTTTTTTTAAATAGCAATATTGTGAGCTTAGGAAAGGAAATTGAGGTTGATGGAGTAATACTAATTTATACCAGCTGAGACTTAGCCCAGTGTCTGTTGTCTGCACACAGAAGTATTTATCAGCAAAACGCCTGCTGTGTAATTTTTTTACTACTTTTTCCCCCTATTCTTTCCTCGCTGGAACAGCATAAACTTTTTTGATAGTATGTGTGATTTCTTACAAATTAAGAAGCAAAAACTAAAAGATAGCTACTTTGAGCACTATGATTGAAAGACTGGTGCCTTCAGGAAAATAAAGACTTTGTTCTGAAGAGCATCCAGGTTTGTGTATTGAGAGTTTGGGCTTAGAAACAACATTTGGTGTTAACTGCAATTGAGGACATTAACAGTGTCAGAGGTGGTGAATGTTTGCATGGGCAATCCAGGAGCACACCTGGTAGCTGATTAAGCACATCCCTGAACAGAAATGTACTAAAATGTGAGCTTTTAGCATTAAAAAGCCTTCCTGAGCTCAGACCATAGGTTCACAGCCTAAAATGAGTTGCTGTATCAAAGCTAGTTATGTCAACTGTTCTTCGGTAGCTCCCACTACCAAGGGAATGAAGTACAATGAAAGACAACAAAAAAGGAATTGCATTTACTGCAGAGTAAATGTGTACACATGAGTTTCTACCACAGAGCATCTGATTTGTGATAACTCTTGTTGTGTGTGATCAGATTGCTTTTCCCTTTTGTTTTTCCTCAAAAAAACCCAAACATGCAGGCTAGACTGTTTGTCCTTTATTTATATGTTTTAAAATTGAGATGAAAATTAATGTGTCTAGAATTGACAATGTGATCTTTAGCTTAACTCACTGGGTTTCTAAAGTGTAACATCTCTCCTGTTTGGTCCAGTTTTGCATACAGTTTAAATGGTTTCCGAAACTAGATTATTTCCATCTCTCCCTTCTCCCAGGAAATGTACACAGCAAAACACATTCCAGTAACTTATTCCCATCGTAAAACAAATACTGGCGTGATTCTGTTGCAAAAGAGCCACACTCTGGGTTATAGAGTTGTGTTCTGAGGTGGGAAAAAGAGCTTGCAGCATGAAAGATAGAAAAGAAAATGCTTTTATTGATGATGATTTTACTTTTAAAAGGAGCCCAAGCAGAATTTTTGCCTGACTTGGAGAAGAGCAGATGTCTTTTTTAGCACTATTCATTTTTCATGGAAGAAAGGTTTCAAATTCCATGTAGGAAATTTTACATGCGTATGCCTAACAGTAGAATTATTTAATTGTTAGTTAATTATTATAAGGCATACAGATGTCACTACATTTGGGGCCTAATCAGATGGCTATGAAAGTAATCGGGAGGTTTTCAACTGATTTTGTGGGCAAGTACAGTCCTGCAAAGCTGGCACACCTTTACGAAACCTTCCTAGGAGGGACTTAGAGCCCTCTGCACCTCCCTGGCACCCACTGCCAGCCTCGCGTGTCCTGTGCACCAACGACTAGAAACTCTTGAAGTGGCACTTGCGTGCGAACCCGGTCCATCGCAGTGAGGGTGGGTATCGCCACTGAGCAGGGATCCAGGGTTTCAGGCAGAGTGTGTGTGCACGTGCGTGCCTACGCTGATTTTTGGTAAGCGAAAAGGACAGTCAGATGTTAGTTCCCAGTGGAAATCAATAGACGTAATCTTTCCTTTTTTCCAAAATCTCCTCGGTAAATACTTGAGTAGAACTAGTGCAGACCAAGCACAGTATTTAAATAACCCTAAAAATTTAGCCTTAGCTATTAAAGTATTCCAGACCTCCCAGTCTGCGCTGGGCATTAATTAGGTCACTCGAACACTGCATCACATTTTGTTGCAACATTAGATTCATTTCATATTTATGCTTTTTCTTTCTCTCTTTCAGTGATGCCAGCAGGACTGCCTTGTAAATGAGAAACCATTGTGTTTCTCAGGGGGAGCATCCTGTACAAATAGAAAAGCAGCAGAGTAAATCATTTTATAGCATATGGTAGATTCTAAGCTCAAAGTAGTCAGCTTTCCATAGCAGCAGAGGCACAAATGGAATCAAATGAATAAATTGCCATGTTTTCTTATTATGAATGTCTGAATTGAGAAGTTCACCTGAGCAGATACTCTGTTTTGTAATTGCCTGGTATTTGCTCTTCCTTACTAGAAAGAAGGCAAAGACAAGGCTTTTATCACCCCATTTTTCATGTATTATGTGCTAGCAAACAGCTGCTTGTGTAAGAACAGGGGAGTGATTATTCCACATTAGGATCCTGAAGGTAGTAAAGTTACATGAGAGGAAAGTAGGCTGGTGGAGTTAATTTATGGCACGGTCTCAGGGAGGAGATATCTGTGACACGAAAGGCTGCTACGGTGAGAGACCAGAGGAGGACTAGCAGAATATTTGGGTTTCAGTCCTTCTCTACTACTTCTGCAATACCACCCGTAAAGTCTCTGGAAGATTTGTCTAATACAGAGAATGCAATGGGTTGCTCAGAGTTTACAAACTGTAGGAACTCTTTGCAAGATAATCCCAGTTTCTATTTCTCTGCCATCCATTCTTCACAAATAATTTTTTATACCTAGACCATCCCACTAGCACACAAGACTAGTGACTGGTCCTTCTCAGGTTTCTCTTGCTACCTTTTGAAGATGAATGTGGGACAATTAGGCCATGTATTAAATTCATGGCAGCAGAGCAGTGGAAAGAGCTACATGTGAAATTACACTTTTGACATATATTGCAAATGACTTGGACTTTCTGAGCCTGATCCGTAGCATGGTACCACTGACCCTTCTTGGTGTTTATAAGAGGGTGCTCAACAAAAACAGAGTACTCTCTAGGTATTTAGTGACATAGCTATGTCAGCAAGTGACATAAACGCCTGTGCACATCGGTCACTACTACCCTGGTTGGTAGCCCATGCAATTCCTGTATTACTTTTCCTCTAGCACCTTATTCCCTAACCCCCAACAAGCGACAGAGTGAAATAAGTAAAGACAGAAGGGGTCATTAGTTACTTGTTATTGTCTCAAAGACAGTGTAGGAGTGTTCCCCTAACATAGTTAGCACAGGGATGCTCCCTGCTGATCCCAAAAAGTAGGAAGGCAGACACAGAAGACTTGCATTCACTGGTTGTTAGGTCTGTGTTTGAAGGGATAAAATACTAATCAAAAATTTATAGCTTCTGCGACTGATTCTGAAGGGAATTTCCACATGATGTAATTCCAGTACGGTGTTTGCTGCTTTTATGATCTTGCTATAGAAAGAAGAAACACACTTTAACAAACAGATCCTTCATTCCAGAAGCCTTTGTCTTGGGGAATGCACAGCCAGGCCCAGGAAATACAAGTCATCAATGCCTTGTATGTTTTTTAGTCATTGAGATTAGCGCAAAAAGAAACTAAGAACGGCAAGCATGCCATAAGTTAAGGGAATACACAAAGAACGACAACTAAAAAGTTACACAGGCAACAGGTGACCATGCTGATGGGAGAATAATAGAAAATGTCATCTGCAGAGTGAGTTTTCAAAAGTGTCCCCTCCTCCCTGGGGATCTGGAGTATTCAGAACAAAACAAGTCCTTTAATAAATGCTTAAAGTTGGGCTTCTGCTAAATAAGATGGTCCCAAAGAGAGCCATTTTATAAATGTGGCTCTGCTTAAAGGTGAATGCTATCTTGATGCCCAGTGTGTTCTTGCACCTTGCTTTATTTTGTGTTGCACTTGTTGCGCGATCAGCAGGGCTCAAATGATTTGTGTTGTCTGTGAAGTGTAGACCAGACTTGTCTGATACGATTTTTTGGTTTTATGTAGTACCTCCTATGGAAGATTGTAAGGAACAAGAGCCTGTGATGGACAACAATATTTCTCTGGTGCCTTTTGAGAGACCTGCTGTTATAGAGAAGCTGACAAGCAACATGGGAAAGCGTAAAAGCTCCACCCCACAGAAGTTTGTGGGTAAGCTTGAAATACGCCTTTTATTATTTTTAGTGTCTAGGTACAGGTTACTGTAATTTGTAACAGCCAAAAGAACAAGGGGAAAAGTAGCGTGCTCAGAACTTGGTTGTGATGGGGAGGGACAACAACGGAGATGGTTAAATCACAGCAAGAAATCTTGAAAATTATTGAATTAATTTTACTAACCCAGAGAATTCAAAAGTGAGGTCCCCAGAATCATGAAAATGGCCTAGCAAATCTTGAGCTTTTTACTGTGCCTTAAGGCTGGTTTGTTTTTTTTTTTAACTTTTCTCTGGCCCTTTTGAAATTTAGACTTGTCATCTTTCCCCCTCCTTGCCCCAGCAAATAAAAACTAGGACTCTCAGTGTGTGTGTGTTTAAAAAAAAACAAAACAAAAACCACAACAAATATCTCAAAACGTATAACTTGTATTAAATTCCTGAGAACTGGCAGCAGTGGGTCTGATAATACCGGCATGAGGAAGTAAAAGCACATCACTTCTGTTGGAAGAAGTGTTTTTTCAGAGTGCAGTGTTCTGCACGCAATAAACTTATTAATGCATGAATATAACACAGCATTGGATGACTTTTGGCTACCAAATTTAGAATCCTAGGCCCAGAATTCATATTTTGCTTTGTATCTTGACATCTTAAAATTGTTCGGTTTGTAACAGGGGACAGTATGGGGAATTTTACTTGGTTTGAGCTGTAGCTTAAAGCTTCTTTTTACTGCTGCTGTGGCAGTGCTGAACTTAGGAGGGGAGCTGGGACGGGGAACTATTTGGGGTAAGTGTGTGCTGCTAGACTCCCAAGTCATGTAATACGTGTTTTCCACGCTTACTCCCTGGAAGGACAGTCATACAGATTTTAAGGGTGTCATATACTCATTCTGCCTACACTGAGAACACTTACGGAGAGAGGATCAGAGGACTGTAAGCAATTAACACAGCCATTTAGAAAAGTCATTGCCCCTCAGCTAAATGCAGATTCAGATGGATTTGTTAAATCACCACTGAAGGTGGATTTAAGCTAACCCATGTGGTTTTGAATAGCAGGGGGCTAGCAGCATGCAGCAGCTCGCCTGGGGGGCACTGACACACTGACCCGGCTGCTCTCAGTCATCTGACCATTCCCAAATACCAGTGCTAAGCCAAGGTTAGGTCAGGAACAATCCAACCCACAGGAGGAATGCTGGGAGGCATCAGTACTTCCTATATTGTCATTGGTCCTGCTCAGATAAAAGTTTAATTCTTAGACTGTTGTTTTTAAGAGTGGTCTGAAATGAATTACCGTATAGCTGATAAGAACCAGAGTATTTATATTCTGATTTAATTTACTGCTGTGACAACAGTTGGGGTTGAAGAGGGTGGAAATGGGCAATGTAGTCTCTACTGACAAGCCAAACACAGCTTTATGAGATTGTAAACATGGCCCCATCATAGCAGGTTTCCCTAGTGTTGTCTCAGCAAGTGCTGGATGTTCTTGCAGGTTGTGATCAACAGTGAAATAGTAACCATGCTGACACTTAAACCGGGGTGTCTAAACCTCAGAAACATTACAGCCGCAAAAGGAGGAAGGGCAGTTCACATCTCACACCCCTCTTTTCCCCCCAGGCCGTCCACAGACTTGAACAGAGTTGTGTTTGCAGTACCTCTCAGAGGTTATCTCTGCAGGGGCTAGAGACTTGATCTGAGAAGGCTGAAGACCTTACTCCCTTCCCTTAAACTCTGGTGTACCCATGCCTGCTCTCAAAGAAGTATAGTTTATTGATTATAAGTATACCTCACAACTGAGGCAACCCACTTTTTGGATGGTATAAATTGAATCCATTTTGGAAGCTGTAGATAACAGTCTCTCTTTTTTTAAACCAGGAAGGTTATTTTACTTGTCCACTCATGTGCAAGTGGCCATATGTTGTTATTGTCTTCACAGGCAAATTTACTGTTTGGAAGTCCTTGCCTGAGACACGCTGTAGCAGATTGCTATTCTCTTCAGTAGGGTACACTATTGTTTTGTTAGATAAACCTGTTTCTTCCGTAGGTGCAGCAGATCATTTTGGTATTCCATTTTTCTGGGACTGGGAATACAGGGTTTCATGTGACATGCAGCTTTTTATCCAGATCCAGCTGTAGGGAA